ACATGTCAAGATATCTTGTTAATGAAAATAAGACACCAGATATACTAAGCAAATTTCCTAAATTTGCTTGTAACAGATAACTGAACTATAGATATGGAGATATAAATCCATATGTACAACTGTTAACCCTTTTGAGGCCTAGTTCCTAGGCCTTTTTTGTATCCATATACTCTTGCGCTACCGTCCACAGGATGGATATGAGGTGCACAATAAACTAGCCACTTCGGTGGCAAAATCTAAAAAATCTAATCCACTCGATGACCTAGTGTTTTCATGTTAGTATCTTCCTCTAAGCCTTTATTTGTATTGGCGACAAAGTTTATCTAAAACAAGTCAATATAGAGGGACATTAAATTCCGGGTATCTGTATCAGGACATATTCGAACCAAGAACCACCATGTACCAGGATCCTGCGGTCTGCACCTCCTGACGAGGAGGGTGCGTTTTATCTTTGGATTTCTCAGCCGAATTTATTAACCTTAGGTCATGACATGAATCTAGTAGACGATTAAGTATGTTCTGAGAGTTGGAGAATCCTGTGGTGTGGATCATTATATCATTAGCAAAACTGATCGTATAATAATTGGGCTGCCTAGGCATGACATTTATAAAGGCATTGCAGATTCACAGCGATATTATATAAACTTAGTATTGCGAGAGGGATGTCATAAATTCTGGTCAACCATTCAGGTACAGGTCAGATACATTAGTACATGCTTGATATAACCAGACACAAAACTATTACATTCTTGTAATAGTGTCATTTTTATTGATATAATTTAAACCTTTGTGTTTATAAATATACAACCCATAATATCTCAATATATTTCTCTCTAATGTTGGGGCATTACTAGTATTTTTGGAGATACGGTTTTTGTGTGAGTTTAGCGATAATTTATTACTAAGAATGCCCATTAATAGGTTGGTTTTGTCATAGACATTGTTCTATGCTATGCAAATGTAAGAAACGGAACGGAACTTATCGAAACCCAACCTAATATAACCTTTCAAAGATAAGGTACTATGTACCCCAGTCAGCCCTTCTAGCTCTGTACCACTCTCTTATTTACCCTTACCCCACCTATGGTATTTGTGCTTGGGGCTCAACTACAGCAAATCACCTTAAGCCTTTAATAACCTAAAAGCTGTAGTGCGATTAATTACTGTGAAGGCTTACTCAGCCCTGTAACAACTTCAGACAGTATTACCAAGGCTAGCTCCTCCTGGAGTTTACCTGGAGTTCCGGGGGTCAACGCCCCCGCGGCCCGGTCTGTGACCAGGCCTCCTGGTGGATCAGAGCCTGATCAACCAGGCTGTTACTGCTGGCTGCACGCAAACCAACGTACGAGCCACAGCCCGGCTGATCAGGAACCGACTTTAGGTGCTTGTCCAATGCCAGCTTGAAGACTACCAGAGGTCTGTTGGTAATCCCCCTTATGTGTGCTGGGAGGCAGTTGAACAGTCTCGGGCCCCTGACACTTATTGTATGGTCTCTTAACGTGCTAGTGACACCCCTGCTTTTCATTGGGGGATGTTGCATCGTCTGCCAAGTCTTTTGCTTTCGTAGTGAGTGATTTTCGTGTGCAAGTTCGGTACTAGTCCCTCTAGGATTTTCCAGGTGTATATAATCATGTATCTCTCCCTCCTGCGTTCCAGGGAATACAGGTTTAGGAACCTCAAGCGCTCCCAGTAATTGAGGTGTTTTATCTCCGTTATGCGCCCGTGAAAGTTCTCTGTACATTTTCTAGGTCGGCAATTTCACCTGCCTTGAAAGGTGCTGTTAGTGTGCAGCAATATTCCAGCCTAGATAGAACAAGTACCTGAAGAGTGTCATCATGGGCTTGGCCTCCCTAGTTTTGAAGGTTCTCATTATCCATCCTGTCATTTTTCTAGCAGATGCGATTGATACAATGTTATGGTCCTTGAAGGTGAGATCCTCCGACATGATCACTCCCATGTCTTTGACGTTGGTGTTTCGCTCTATTTTGTGGCCAGAATTTGTTTTGTACTCTGATGAAGATTTAATTTCCTCGTGTTTACCATATCTGAGTAATTGAAATTTCTCATCGTTGAACTTCATATTGTTTTCTGCAGCCCACTGAAAGATTTGGTTGATGTCCGCCTGGAACCTTGCAGTGTCTGCAATGGAAGACACTGTCATGCAGATAAGGGTGTCATCTGCAAAGGAAGACACGGTGCTGTGGCTGACATCCTTGTCTATGTCGGATATGAGGATGAGGAACAAGATGGGAGCTAGTACTGTGCCTTGTGGAACAGAGCTTTTCACCGTAGCTGCCTCGGACTTTACTCTGTTGACTACTACTCTCTGTGTTTTGTTAGTGAGGAAATTATAGATCCATCGACCGACTTTTCCTGTTATTCCTTTAGCACGCATTTTGTGCGCTATTACGCCATGGTCACAGTCACACTTGTCGAAGGCTTTTGCAAAGTCTGTATATATTACATCTGCATTCCTTTTATCTTCTAGTGCATCTAGGACCTTGTCGTAGTGATCCAATAGTTGAGACAGACAGGAGCGACCTGTTCTAACCCATGTTGCCCTGGGTTGTGTAACTGATGGGTTTCTAGATGGGTGGTGATCTTGCTTCTTAGGACCCTTTCAAAGATTTTTATATGGGATGTTAGTGCTCTGGTGGCCTGGTGGTTAACGCTCTCGCTTCACACGGTGAGGGCCTGGGTTCGATTCCCAGCCAGAGTAGAAACATTGGACGTGTCTTTTCCAACTGTTGTCATATGTTACCCCATTCTAGTAGGGTCCTGGTGATTAGTGACTGTGTAGGTGACCATCTGGACAATGACTAGGAGGCCTGTTCAACAGTCCGGTTGTGACGGGGTCTGTTGGACCCCAGGAACCTTTCCAAGATTTATATATGTCTATCGGTCTGTAGTTCTTTGCTGTTGCTTTACTGCCCTCTTTGTGGAGTGGGGCTATGTCTGTTGTTTTTAGTAACTGTGGGACGACCCCCGTGTCCATGCTCCCTCTCCGTAGGATGGTAAAGGCTCGTGATAGGGGCTTCTTGTAGTTCTTGATGAACACGGAGTTCCATGAGTCTGGCCCTGGGGCAGAGTGCATGGGCATGTCATTTATCGCTTGTTCGGAGTCATTTGGCGTCAGGATAACATCAGATAGGCTTGTGTTAACCAAATTCTGTGGCTCTCTCATAAAAAATTCATTTTGATCTTCGACTCTCAGTCTGGTTAGCGGCTTGCTAAAAACTGAGTCATAGTGGGACTTGAGTAGTTCACTCATTTCCTTGCTGTCATCTGTGTAGGACCCATCTTGTTTAAGTAGGGGCCCAATACTGGACGTTGTTCTCGACTTTGATTTGGCATAGGAGAAGAAATACTTTGGGTTTCTTTCGATTTCATTTATGGCTTTTAGTTCTTCCCGCGATTCCTGACTCCTATAAGATTCCTTTAGCTTAATGAATAGAAAAAGAAATAATAATTCACAAAGATAAACACTATTATTTATTAATGCAAAGATAAAACATTGAAATATGAAGGTGTATCCTACTTGAAAGAGAAATGAAAAATGAAATGGAAAAATGACATTTGAATTCAACGTTAATATGTACAGTTATACTGGGGTGTCTGGTTGAGGTTGACACCGTCTTGTAGAAATTGTAACCGTTGATGATGATGTGGGGGGGGGGGGGTGTCACAGGTGTTGAGTGACAACCCAACGACTAGTTCTTCACAGAGTATAGCCGTGAATAGTCAGTCCAGATGACAGGAACTCGGGTTCTTTACCACTGCAAAGATGAGGGGTAGTGTCCTATACAATTAATCAGGTAGGTAGATCATGAAGTGACGTCCCAAGACCGTTTTCAGTCAGTCTCCGTCAACACTTCTCGTTGGTTGGCAGGTGACCCAATCTGTCATTCCAAGCTGGAAAGAGAGGTTGTTACCCACTGCTTAAGAAATCACTCTCCATGATAAGTGTAAGATACTTAAAAAAGGTGGTGATTATCGAAAAGTCTTATGTGGAGCTTAAAATTGAAAGGACTAAGTTTATTATCGGTCAAAAGTGAAGCTTTCAACCAATATCCACTAGAATAGGAGCAGAGGCTTTTACTTACAGTTGTGCTGGGAGCTGTGAGTCGAGTGATTACTGTTTGGCCGGAGCCCCCCACGTCACCTTTCGGGGTGGGGAAAAAGAGGGGGGGAGGGGACAGCGGGAGCTAGACTGGCCCTACCTTAACAAGCAGCCGGCAATCAAACTATTGTTACCGTATACTCGCTCGCTACTCCTATCTGTTGAACTTTTCCCTCACACTTCCCCATACCAAGTCTTATAGCCAAGGAGTATAAGAAGAATAGGCGAGGAAAAAGCTCTAATACGAAGTCGCGTAAGGCAACAAATCTACTGACTGTCACTTAACCAGTCAGAGAAATAATTGGATGAATCATTGATATACACAATATGAAACTTAAGTTTGCCCGAAATGCTCAGCATACGAGGGGCTTTTGGCATGTACACCAAACTATTATATTCCACTGTACAACCATGTAATTTGTCAAAATAAAAAATCTAAATATAAATCTAACAGTTTAACCTTACTCGACCAGCGGTAGATATGGGCCTGGCACTCCTGTATTTACATTCGATTGGTCTGTGTTTACATTCACTGTGATTGGCCTGGAGCGTCTATGCTAGCCGTTAATTGGCTCTGACGTGCAGCATCTCCCATTATTTTTGCTAATATCTGTCAAAATGCCGTATTTCAAAATAAATAGCAATTTGTTCCTCGGTATGGATAACACTTCTGTTGTACATGTGAAAATAATACGCGATTTCTCAAAAGTACCTGATCTCCATATTTGCCGCGTTATTGTCTTTAAGTTGGGGGAGACACATTATATAATAAAAACTTTTATATATTAATCCCCGGGTATAAAATATATATTGAAGTGTACATTTAATAGTTTAATTAAGGTAAGAGTATTATGGAGGGTGTTGTTGGGTGGGTTGGTAGGCCTGAGTGTCCGTCTGACAGTAGTGGGGGAAGCTGGTAATGGAGGGGGGAGTTATCTCATAATTTATCACTCTGTTTAGACCAGAGACTTTGTCGCTTCACCTGCACCTAGTAGAGGGTCACCGGCGCCTCCCTACGCCTTACACAGTATGTGTTACATCTTATAAATAGACATAGAGGCGATAATTACGTACGAGTTGCTTCTCGGCCATTTTGTTTATTATTCCCCGCTCTTGCAGGCGGAGGTAATCAATATCGTCCACATCCATCTCGGAGTTTTAGTGCTTGACATAATATATTGTGTGATTTATAGTAATGTGAGTGATGGAGACAGTTAGAGGAAGTGGTTATTGATGTGTGTTGATAACTGTCAGTGGTGGGGTGAGCACACCTGCCATAACAATAACTGTCATCTAAGTTGCTTTGTGATTTATTTATTAACGAGGAGTGATACTTTTTTTGTGGGTTATTCATGGGTGTCTTAAGAGGCAGTGAATGTAAATCAGAGTATGAAATATTTAGTTTAAGGCTGTATTCATAACTCATTCTTTTGACTTTTTCAAAATAATATCTGGTTTGTCCTTGATGTGTGTGATAAACAAGGGATACTAAGGCATGTTATATTGTCCTCTGCACTCTCTTCTTCAGTATTGATATTAAACTAATAAAATTCATTTGTTCCTGCAGCATAGAAATCCACACCATACACATATATGAGAAAATTTGAGAAAGCTGAGACTTGCTCTCAGGCTAGTGCCTGAAATTGAAGGAGCTGAGGTATGAAGACAAGCTTGGAGAACTGAGTCCTCATTACACTGGAGGAACCAAGCAACAAAGGTGACATGGTCACAACATACAAAATACTTACAGGCGCTGACAAGGTTAACTTAGATACTTTGTTTGAGAGGTGTGGAACCAAAGTGAAAGGACACAGATGGAAGCTAAAAACCAAAAATGAGGCAAAGAAATGTGAGAAGGAACTTCATTCAGCGTGGGGGCGGTGAGCGAGTGGAGTGCACTAGGGGAGGAGACAGAAGCTACAGTCACTCAATATCAAGTTCAAATGTAAATACGATGAAGCCCATGGGGCTCAGGATGCAACGTACCAGTCAATTAGTAATTAAGAGGCCGGGCCCAGGAGTTGGGGCTTGATCCTGTGGAACACTAGTAGGTGAGTACAAGGCAAATACTGCAGCATTGTTTTATGTAGTATGGTATTATGTTCAGATTTATCAGTTATCAGCCCTTTAAATATATATTGTCAGATACATACTCTTATCACATAAAGTTTTTAAAAGTTTATATACTTTTGCTCTGAGAATATTTATTTTAAAGATGCAGTGCTGTAATATATATACAAACTTGTAATACTGTATAGTATAAACTTATAAGCAGATTTTATTTGGATTATTACCCTGTTGGGTTAATAATTTTCATGATTCTTTGGCAACATTGTATTTGCTAAGAAAGTCTCATTGTAGTGTCCATCAACAAACTCTTCAATGTTAAGTAGGTTTATTTAGGTAGTTACACAAGTTTAAGTGATGACAGTTATCATACATAGCATCAAAGTGACTTGTGTATTTCCATTGGGCTCCTTGTAATATTGTCTTATTAGCAACCAAGCATAATCGAATCAAAATCAGCCTTGATTATAACCTTAAAAAATAAAACGACTAAGCAACAAAATTATGAAAATCAGTCGCATTGCACTAAAAAGAGGTGTAATAAGAATAAAGTGAACTGAGCAGTTTACATAAACATTAAGTAGGGAAAATCAGCTTAATATAGCAGGTACAGGAATGTTAACTATACAAGAAATCACTTTCTTCCCTTTATGTAGCTTTATTCATTAGGAACCTTTTAGGAATCTTTAAGGTGTCCAGTAACTCGGTTGGCAGTGCACTCAGCTCTCATACTGAGTGTCCATGGCTCAATCCCAGGCATGAGTGGAAATGTTAGGCATGTTTCCTGTCATTACTATTCCTGTTCACCTAGCAGCAAGTAGATCCCTGGATGTTAGTCAACCATTGTGGGTCACATCCTGGGGGTGAACAAGATTAAAGGACCCCAAAGGAAATAAGACAGATAGCCCCCAATGATGTACTGACATTATTGGGTTATCCATGGAGGCTAACCCTCTAGGTAAAAAAAATACGAACAAAATCTTATTTCTCTTCTTGAACTGGTTTATGCTAAAACTTACCTTGACATGTTCAGGCAACCTGTTCCACTCCTTTGTTGCTGTGTAGTAGGTGTTTCACTTTTCCTACTTCCATACTGATTTTGGTTGCCAACCTTGGCAAAATTTGTAGCATGATATTCTGGACATTGCTTGTGAGCAATTTTATAGACATGATTTAACTGGCTGCTTTATTGTGTCTTCAACATTTGGCATATCCAGTTGTTGAAATTCACCCTGGCCTACATGCTCTCTTGGACCCAGGCCCAAGATAAATCTCATCATTGTGTTCTGGGTGGTTTGAACATACATAAGAGCGTAAGAAAGAGAACACTGCAGCAGGCCTGTTGGCCCATACTAGACAGGTTCTTTACAATCCATCCCACTAACAAAATATTTTCAGTGCTACCCAAGAAATAAGCTATGATAATTCTATTTACTCATATGCAAGTCCCACTCAAATCCAACTCCTCTCACTCGTGTATTTATCCAACCTATCCAAGTCTGTCTTTGAAAACGAAAATGAGTACCATGCAGTACAAGAATTATCTACATGACAGTGTATAAGTGCTTGACATAGGGTCCTGCAAGCCTCAGTAGATAGACACTATGCCTATCTGTATTGCTTCTTGGTTATTGAAGTTTGTATAATCAGTTGTGATGAATGGTTTGAAAAACCGACAAGTTGAAGATTGAGACACTTATGCAGCATATGGGAATCTTTATTCAGGAAACATTTTGCCACACAGTGGCTTCATCAGTCCAATACAAAGAGGAAGGCATAAGGAGAGGAGGAGTATGAGGTAATCAGTCCCTCAGCCTGGAGTCGATGTGTTCAGTCCATCAATCTTGTAGAATGTACAGCATAGGGCCATAGACGTGGCTTATACTGTAGTGAGGTGAGGTGAAGCAGGCGGAGGCGGGGTCGTAGTGGCACCATCCACTAGTCGAAGTAGGTCTTCGTCCGAAGGTTGAACAAGTGTTGAAGAATTCTTTGTAACAAGATCCCATGATGCTGCAGTGTCTGACAGTTGTGATGAATGGTTTGAAAAACCGACAAGTTGAAGATTGAGACACTTGTGCAGCATATGGGAATCTTTATTCAGGAAACGTTTCGCCACACAGTGGCTTCATCAGTCCAATACAAAGACACTGCAGCATCATGGGATCTTGTTAAAAAGAATTCTTCAACACCTGTTCAACCTTTGGACGAAGACCTACTTCGGCTAGTGGATGGTGCCACTACGACCCCACCTCCGCCTGCTTCACCTCACCTCACTACAGTATAAGCCACGTCTACGGCCCTATGCTGTACATTCTACAAGATTGATGGACTGAACACATCGACTCCAGGCTGAGGGACTGATTACCTCATACTCCTCCTCTCCTTACGCCTTCCTCTTTGTATTGGACTGATGAAGCCACTGTGTGGCGAAACGTTTCCTGAATAAAGATTCCCATATGCTGCATAAGTGTCTCAATCTTCAATTTGTATAATCAGATTTACACCACTCCTCTCCTATTATCTAAATGATATTCTCACTTTTGGTGCCACATTCCTTTGTTGGTCTCATGCCATTTGATTGAGCATTGTATAATAGGAGTGTCCTGTTCACTCTTGTTTACCTGGAGTTTACCTGGAGAGAGTTTCGGGGGTCAACGCCCCCGCGGCCCGGTCTGTGACCAGGCCTCCTGGTGGATCAGCGCCTGATCAACCAGGCTGTTGCTGCTGGCTGCACGCAAACCAACGTACGAGCCACAGCCCGGCTGATCAGGAACTGCCTTTAGGTGCTTGTCCAGTGCCAGCTTGAAGACTGCAGGGGTACTGTTGGTAATCCCCCTTATGTGTGCTGGAGAATTTTACTCTCTGTTCCTTTGACCTTTTATAAGTTTTTAACTATGTTATCACTGTTTTGGGGGAAAGACTTTCTCCGTAAGCCAATGCTTTCGTAGTGACTGAAATTCGTGTAGCAATGGGCTAGTACCCTTCTCTGTTCCAATTACTAAAAGAAGAACTTTAAACCTGGGTTGGAAAATGGGGTTTGGATTACGCTCGAGCGTCAAGAATAGTGTTTATGCTCCTATGAGCAAGAGTTGGAAGTTCTGGACCTTTCTAGGTCAAGCAATTACGTGCTAGGAAGGTGCTGTTGAGTGGGCAAATCAATGAGATTAAACAAGTGACCTGAGATGCATGGGTTAGGTCCTAAAGTTTTGAGTATGTTACAATGATCAGTTTGTAAGGATAAAGAGATGGAATTGATAAATGTTAAGGTCCTTAAGGTGGATTAAATAAATTGATCGAGAGGGTCTTAAGCGTTGGGTTGCGCCTGGATTTTGTGGCGAATTGCAGTTGATTGAGAGATTGATTTCATATGTTTAATATTATAGGAGCTTTGACATCGTTGAGACTTAATTGTTTTGGGCCCACTGAAAATTTGGTTGAGACGCTAGCTTGAGTGTTGCAGATGAAAGTTTGGGGATCCCAGGTGGGTAATTGAAAGGAAGCCGCTTTGATTGAACTTTTATGAAAGGGGTATTAGATGAGGAATAATGGAGCTTTACAGACATGAGGAAAAAGTTTTCACGATATGCTAGGGCGAATTTACTTGTTTGTTGGTATGTTTGGTAGTAAAAGATTTGAGTAGACTTCAGGATGTACATGTTTATAGAGGGGCCACAGATATATCAGATCATTTCTAGTTGTAGCTACACTGAGAGTAAAAGGTAGATGGGATACAAGGAGAATAGAAGCATCAGGGAAGAGAGAGGTGAAGGTTTATAAACTAAAAGAGGAGGCAGTTAGGGTAAGATATAAACAGCTATTGGAGGATAGATGGGCTAATGAGAGCATAGGCAATGGGGTCGAAGAGGTATGGGGTAGGTTTTTAAAAATGTAGTGTTAGAGTGTTCAGCAGAAGTTTGTGGTTACAGGAAAGTGGGGTGCAGGAGGGAAGAGGAGCGATTGGTGGAATGATGATGTAAAGAGAGTAGTAAGGGAGAAAAAAGTTAGCATATGAGAAGTTTTTACAAAGTAGAAGTGATGCAAGGAGGGAAGAGTATATGGAGAGAAAAAGAGAGAAGTTAAGAGAGTGGTGAAGCAATGTAAAAAGAGAGCAAATGAGAGAGTGGGTGAGATGTTATCAACAAAATTTTGTTGAAAATAAGAAAAAGTTTTGGGAGTGAGATTAACAAGTTAAGAAAGCCTAGAGAACAAATGGATTTGTCAGTTAAAAATAGGAGAGGAGAGTTATTAAATGGAGAGTTAGAGGTATTGGGAAGATGGAAGGAATATTTTGAGGAATTGTTAAATGTTGATGAAGATAGGGAAGCTGTGATTTCGTGTATAGGGCAAGGAGGAATAACATCTTGTAGGAGTGAGGAAGAGCCAGTTGTGAGTGTGGGGGAAGTTCGTGAGGCAGTAGGTAAAATGAAAGGGGGTAAGGCAGCCGGGATTGATGGGATAAAGATAGAAATGTTAAAAGCAGGTGGGGATATAGTTTTGGAGTGGTTGGTGCAATTATTTAATAAATGTATGGAAGAGGGTAAGGTACCTAGGGATTGGCAGAGAGCATGCATAGTTCCTTTGTATAAAGGCAAAGGGGATATAAAAGAGATTGCAAAAATTATAGGGGGATAAGTCTGTTGAGTTGTACCTGGTAAAGTGTATGGTAGAGTTATAATTGAAAGAATTAAGAGTAAGACGGAGAATAGGATAGCAGATGAACAAGGAGGCTTTAGGAAAGGTAGGGGGTGTGTGGACCAGGTGTTTACAGTGAAACATATAATGTGAACAGTATTTAGATAAGGCTAAAGAGGTCTTTGTGGCATTTATGGATTTGGAAAAGGCGTATGACAGGGTGGATAGGGGGGGGAATGTGGCAGATGTTGCAAGTGTATGGTGTAGGAGGTAGGTTACTGAAAGCAGTGAAGAGTTTTTACGAGGATAGTGAGGCTCAAGTTAGAGTATGTAGGAAAGAGGGAAATTTTTTCCCAGTAAAAGTAGGCCTTAGACAAGGATGTGTGATGTCACCGTGGTTGTTTAATATATTTATAGATGGGGTTGTAAGAGAAGTAAATGCGAGGGTCTTGGCAAGAGGCGTGGAGTTAAAAGATAAAGAATCACACACAAAGTGGGAGTTGTCACAGCTGCTCTTTGCTGATGACACTGTGCTCTTGGGAGATTCTGAAGAGAAGTTGCAGAGATTGGTGGATGAATTTGGTAGGGTGTGCAAAAGAAGAAAAATAAAGGTGAATACAGGAAAGAGTAAGGTTATGAGGATAACAAAAAGATTAGGTGATGAAAGATTGAATATCAGATTGGAGGGAGGAGTATGGAGGAGGTGAACGTATTCAGATATTTGGGAGTGGACGTGTCAGCGGATGGGTCTATGAAAGATGAGGTGAATCATAGAATTGATGAGGGGAAAAAGAGTGAGTGGTGCACTTAGGAGTCTGTGGAGACAAAGAACTTTGTCCTTGGAGGCAAAGAGGGGAATGTATGAGAGTATAGTTTTACCAACGCTCTTATATGGGTGTGAAGCGTGGGTGATGAATGTTGCAGCGAGGAGAAGGCTGGAGGCAGTGGAGATGTCATGCCTGAGGGCAATGTGTGGTGTGAATATAATGCAGAGAATTCGTAGTTTGGAAGTTAGGAGGAGGTGCGGGATTACCAAAACTGTTGTCCAGAGGGCTGAGGAAGGGTTGTTGAGGTGGTTCGGACATGTAGAGGAGAATGGAGCGAAACAGAATGACTTCAAGAGTGTATCAGTCTGTAGTGGAAGGAAGGCGGGGGTAGGGGTCGGCCTAGGAAGGGTTGGAGGGAGGGGGTAAAGGAGGTTTTGTGTGCGAGGGGCTTGGACTTCCAGCAGGCATGTGTGAGCGTGTTTGATAGGAGTGAATGGAGACAAATGGTTTTTAATACTTGACGTGCTGTTGGAGTGTGAGCAAAGTAACATTTATGAAGGGATTCAGGGAAACCGGCAGGCCGGACTTGAGTCCTGGAGATGGGAAGTACAGTGCCTGCACTCTGAAGGAGGGGTGTTAATGTTGCAGTTTAAAAACTGTAGTGTAAAGCACCCTTCTGGCAAGACAGTGATGGAGTGAATGATGGTGAAAGTTTTTCTTTTTCGGGCCACCCTGCCTTGGTGGGAATCGGCCGGTGTGATAATAAAAAAAATATTCATTAATTTTGTTTTAAATCATCATTGTGTATATTTTACACTTGCATTGTTTTCTTTCACAAAAGCATGTGGTTTTTCATGTTTCTTCTGTCTTTCAGGAAAACTGCTGTCCAATGAAGATAAAGCAGACACAGCAAGGTGTGTCTTAGACAACGTTTTACTTAAGTGTGAGTTTTATCAAGGGCAATTCCAAAGTCTTTTGGCATTCTTTGCAAGTCATATTTTAAAATTCCTAAATCCATTTGATTTTTCACCTATGAGCTAATGCAGGTTTTTTTTTTCAGTTTTGCGAGAGCTGTCCCTAACTTTGCAATAATGGATGAGCATTGATCAAAATTTTCTTTTCACTACATTCCTAGTAAGTTGTTTAAATACTTTACAGTATTACATATATCGGTTTTGTGATTTATTCTGTGACTCCATATGCCGTTGTAATTAGCTGTTTTTTTTTTTTTTTAAAGTCACTTGAAGTCCCTTGAACTGTACTCCTTGAAGTTTTTTATTATTATTATTAACACACTGGCCATTTCCCACCAAGGCAGGGTGACCCAAAAAAGAAGAAACACTTTCATAGTCATTTACTCCATCACTGTCTTGCCAGGGGTGCACCTACACTACAGTTACAAAACTGCAACATATCAACACCCCTCCAGAGTGCAGGCACTGTACTTCCCACCTCCAGGACTCAAAGTCTAGCTTGCCAATTTCCCTGTATCCCTTCATAAATCATTACCTTGCTCTCGTTTCAACAGCACATCAAGTCATAAAAACCATTTGTCTCCACTCGCTCCTATCTAACATGCTCACGCATGCTTGCTGGACCTTTATGACCAACGAATTGGTCTTAAAGGTCCTGCAAAATTGATAGTATCTGCAGATGGTGCAAAATACCCCCAGTGACAAGTGGGGGTGCCATGAATACATTGAGAGAGAACACATTAAGTGCATAAAGAAGAATTATGAATAGATCCTGTCTTCAAGAGAGAATTTGATAAGTTCCTCAGGTTTTTTCCTGATAAGCTGGTATGTGGTTCATAAGTTTAAACTGCATGCAACCAGCACCAACAGCCTGACTGATTAAGCCCTCCACCAAGAAACCTAGTAATACAGACGGGCTACTGCTGTAAACGAAAATTGCTATAAAGTGAAACACAACCTTTTTTACTTTCAAATGCATATAAAAGCCTGATAACATGTTTACACTATCATATATTAAGTAAGAAATAGAGCTAGACCTAAAAAATGCATATACAGGACACATTACCTAAAATATTTTCATCCTAAGCTTATAGTGAATAATGAATATATTTATTGTAGGAAGTCTGAATAAATGAAGAATGGGCATAATTGAAAACTGCTGCATTAGTGAAATGCTGTAAAGCAAAGCGCTGTAAAGTGGGGGCTTTTCTGTAATAATAATAATGAAAGATGGCAATTGAATGAATGTTTTTTTTCTTTGGGTCACCCTGCCTTAGCAGGAGACATCCATGAAGTTAAATAATTTAATGCTTATGAAAGAATTTTGAAGTATTAATACATTAACTTTTACTTGTCATGTGTTTCCATTATGTAACGTGACAGAATCACCACCACTAACCTTCCGAGGTTGTGGTCAGATCATGAGTCATCCTGGTGCTCAGGCTTCGGTCAAAGTCGGTTAATCATGAGGAGAGACAAGCTTGTTGAGAACACTATTGAAGACATGCATCACTGACTGTAGCTCCAGCAGTGACATTTGTCACTTTGAGACTAATCTCTCGAATGAGGAACAATCACACACATCTTACCCATAGCCACATGTTTGCAGATGATCCTGCCCCTCTTCTCCCCAACTCTCTGTAGCTTGAGGTGTGCAAGTGACTGTGGAACACTCACTAACAGTTTGCACATAGTTTAAGTGTTTCTGCTTTCATCACTTTTTTGTTTTTAATTACCAGGGTGCCTGTGTGGGTCTTAGAGAGCTTTTAAGAGAGTTTTGGACATTAATAATTTTTAACTCATATTGGTTATTCTAACTTGGTATGATAGTACAGTTTTTATTTGTATTATGTAGTTTGTTCATATTAGTAGTTTTTACAATTATTAATTTTATCTTTTTCCTGTGTGTATGTTGTATACATCATGTATATATTTTGTATTGCCAAGAGTGATGATTGACTTGCAGAGTCAGAGTGCTCTTCCAGTATCAAAATTACCTACGTAATGACTGGAGCTAAACTATGCGGGCCCAAAAAAGACATTCTATACCCCTTAACTGTAGGGCTGAAGTTATTCATTTTTGGCATAGGGATGGAATCTCTGGGCCCCTGTCATAGGGCTATTAATGGTACCCCAAATTTCTAATCATTAACCCGTAAACGGTCCAAACATATATACAGTGGACCCCCGCATAACGATCACCTCCGAATGGGACCAATTATGTAAGTGAATTTATGTAAGTGCGTTTGTACGTGTATGTTTGGGGGTCTGAAATGGACTAATCTACTTCACAATATTCCTTATGGGAACAAATTCGGTCAGTACTGGCACCTGAACATACTTCTGGAGAGAAAAAATATCGTTAACCGGGGGTCCACTGTATATCTTCACTACCCCAGTGCCCTGAATATTTTGAAAAATAAAAAAAAAAAGTTTTTTTTTTTTTTATGGAAAGAACGAGCACATTTTTCTAAGTGTTATAAAAAAATTAGGGTCAGTACTTACAGAAATACGTATGAGGCCGAGAAGTTGGCACTGGATGCTCACCTGACGGCAACCTCGAGTACTGCCGCTTACAGAAGTGTTGCCGATATACTTTTTTTTTTATATTCGTATTATTTTATATAATTTTTATGTTTTGATGATTACAATTTATATTAGTTATTGCCATTTCATAACCAATCTTTGTTCTGACACTAGTACGGTATTAGGTACTGAAATAGTACTCAAATTGTAACAAACACACTGACAGGTGGACATTTGCACCTGCCTTGGCCATTTATTATTGTCTTGGAATAAATACAAAGTATTTATAGGTCCCAGCAATGTTTTGGATATGTGGAAGTATATAATAATAATAATAATAAGAAAAGAATAATAATAATCTTTCTTTCAACACATCGGCCGTATCCCACTGAGGCGGGGTGGCCCAAAAAGAAAGACAAAAGTTTCTCTTTTTAAATTTAGTAATTTATACGGGAGAAGGGGTTACTAGCCCCTTGCTCCCTGCATTTTAGTCGCCTCTTACAACATGCATGGCTTACGGAGGAAGAATTCTGTTCCACTTCCCCATGGAGAATAATAATAATATGTAATAATAAGTTCCTTTGAAGCCTGTACAACAAGCCTCAGTCCACCTCTGACAGTGAAGTGATAAGATGAGATAACAAAAGATAAGAGTTGACATTTGATGAGCATCAGCCCTCCTTTGTTTTCGCTGGTACACAAACATGTCTGTCTGTCTGTCAAGCTCCCTGTCTCAGAGAGAGCCACAGGATGGCATCATCATGTTTACTCATATCTTCATGCACAGTATAACACTTTGCCTGGATTTTTTGGGTTATCCTAGGTAATTTACACTATGTATACTTGTATTTGTGTGTACCTGTGAGACAGAGATAGACAGACAGAAAGGGATAGACAGAGACAGATAGACAGAGACAAAGATAGAGATAGAGACAGATAGACAGAGATAGACACAAACAAACGGAGCCAGGCCGCCAACACCCAGCCAGCCACTCAGCTGGCCAGCCAGCTAGCCAATCGGCCAGCCAGCCAGCCAATCGGCCAGCCAGCCAGCCAGCCAGCCAGCCAGCCAGCCAGCCAATCAGCAAGTCAGCCAGTCATTCAGCCTGCTGAACAAGTATTACATTCCAGAATTGTTTCTCTTTACTTAGGGCATAGGTTATAAGACATTCTGAAAGGGTGTTGCACAAAGGTTGCACATGGGTTATTATCGAGGTTTTTTGATATTTCCTCGACCACTTATGGCTGCATCCACCTCAGAGCCACTAAACTCGTGGTCAACATAACTTTCCTCTTAAAATGTGAGAGTTAACACTACATGAAATAAGTGAATCCCAGGTGTTTGCTGCGCTGTTTGCTCTAGCTGGTGCTCACTGGAACTGATGCTCCCACAAGGTACTAAGTGGTCCCAGATTTTTTTAATACAGTGCACACTGAGTGTTAAGACCCAGTCTATGCTGACAAAGCATCTCAGGCCAGTCGTGCCATATTTGAAGGCAGGAAAAATAAAACGTTTATATACGTTTGGGGCACTAGTGAACGTATACATAAGTTTGGACCATTTACAGGTTAATAGGGAAATTTTTTAGACATGCTTCATAACACTTGATGTTAGACAGAGGCCCGGTGGCCTGGTGGCTAAAGCTCCCGCTTCACACACGGAGGGCCCGGGTTCGATTCCTGGCGGGTGGAAACATTTCGACACGTTTCCTTACACCTATTGTCCTGTTCACCTAGCAGCAAATAGGTACCTGGGTGTTAGTCGACTGGTGTGGATCGCATCCTGGGGGACAAGATTAAGGACCCCAATGGAAATAAGTTAGACAGTCCTCGATGACGCACTGACTTTCTTGGGTTATCCTGGGTGGCTAACCCTCCGGGGTTAAAAATCCGAACGAAATCTTATCTTATCTTATCTTATCTTACCTTTTATGAGTTATTTCTTGGGGCGATTATATTTTACTAGTAGTTAGTTCACTTTGTTAAACTTTATAATTGTCATCATAAAATGAGATATTTGAAGCTCATTGTCTTTGTATTTGTAGTTTATGACAAAAAAAAATTGTAGCATTAATTATTTTTTGTCCTTTCAGAATTTCAAGCTTGAAAAACTAAATCAAGAAGATGAAAAAGTTATTCATGCGTCATGTTCTTTAAGAACATTATTTTGATACTATAGCAGCAGTTGATCAATAACTTTCTCTCCATTTGGATTAAAAGATTATCAACATGGATCAGACACCACAGGAGATAATGCATTCCCTGTTTTCCCTTGATCCTAATATGGAAAACAGGGGACATCTGTATCCTTATAACTATCCTTATGGACAATATCCTTACCCATACCACTATCCGTATCCTCCTCCTCACCATTCATCAGCTCATGCAAATATTCCTTCATCACACAGTATGCCACCACCACCATCTCATCCTATAACCCAGGCTTCACAGAGTCTTGCAGCATCACAGAATAACCTTTCACCATATAACGGTGGAGTCCACAATATCCGTCCACCTATGACTAACATGCGAGAGCAAATGGGAGATGGAAGGCTTCCTTTAGGAGACAGTAGAATACCTCATCTAAGTGATATTGAAAGACACACAGTTGATACACAACATATTGCAGAAGATCTACGTAGTGTACCTACTGATTCCAGGAACCTTGGTGATATGAGACATCATCCAGTTGACATGCGACCAATACCTGCTGAGCAACGGTACTTAGGTGATTTAAGATCCTTTTCAAGTCACCCACGTTCATCCTCCACAGATTTTCGACACATTACTGATTACTCGTCTCAACCAACGGATTTACGAACGCAACCAATTGATGCTAGACTCTTTAGTGATGTGCGACAACTTGCTGGAGATACAAGGCCACCACTTAATGAAGCGAGGCTCATGGGGGATCCTCGACATACCCTAATTGAAGATAGTATTAGAATCCAAGAAGACCCAAGGAATCTAATAAGTAGGCCCACAGGTGATTTCAGGTATGCAGGAGATTTTAGAACGTATGATAATCGCCCTGCTAGTGTTGCTCAACCTCCTGAGGATATGCAGCTTTTGTCTGGTGATCCAAGACCTCCAATAAGTAACACAAGGTCCATTGAAGAAACTAAGCCCCTTTATGATTCTTCAAGAATGAGTACAAATGAAAATAGGCTTCCATTACATCAGTTTGATACAACTAACCTTTTAAAATCATCAGGAAATCAGCATTATTTTGATGACAGAACTAGTTTAGTAAATAAGCCTTCAGTTAATGGTGAAGATCTTTCTATTAAGCATACAGCTCAGGATTTGAGACAAATGCTCACAGATTCAAGAGTGACTTCAGGAAGTAACAATCATTCTGTCCATGACATGCAACAAAGTATGAATGAACCAAAAGCACAGCTAAGCTCATCTGGACAAGATGCTGAGGTTAACCAAGGAAGTTTAAGATATCCCACAGTTAGTAGCCCAAACACATCTTTAGGGTTGTTGTCCCATGCATTGGGGGAGCATTTAAAAGAAAAAGAGTTTGAGAACAGTGATGGTAATACAAATTTAAATGTCAGTCAGGAAGAACCTCTTAATATGGACAACAAAAGTTATCATTCAGATGAACCTAACAGGGATAAAAATGTAGGGGAGATGAATGATGAAATGGAATATAAAGACAATAATGGAAAATGTGAAATTTCTCAGGATATTGATGAAGATGACTTTGACTCTGAAGCCTCCTCTACTGAATACTCTAATCCTTACATAGAATTCAATGAAGTAGCACATGGAGTATTCAACAATGTTAATAATATTGCTGGTCCAGTTAAACCTTTTCACTGTGAAGACTGTGATGCTACATTTACTACTAAAGGAAACCTTAAAGTACATAAAAGAATCCATACTGGAGAAAGGCCATATGAGTGTGAGGAATGTGGTAAAACCTTTTCATATTGTGCATCATATCAGTCTCATAAGTTAATACATAGTGGACACAGACCATACAAATGTGAATTTTGTGAACGGGCATTTTTCCGAAGTGAACATTTAGAACGTCACCGGAGGAGGCATACAGGTGAAAGACCATTTAAGTGTACAGAATGTGATGCTACTTTTGCTGCTAGTGATGGATTGTCAAGGCACACGAGAACTCATACTGGTGAAAGACCTTATAGCTGTGAGGAATGTGGAATGTCATTTGCTTATAAATCTACTTTTCTTCGACATAAACTGATGCATTCTGAGGGTGAATACAAATGTGAGGATTGTGGTGCAGCATTTAAAGATCCTGCTAGGTTAGATAAACATATAAAAAAGCATAATGACCCAAACTATGTGCCATACTCTGATGAAGGTAAACCAAAGCCACATAAACTTATGGAAGATGGTATAGAGGTTACAGGATGTGAGTTCTGTCAGATGAAATTTAAAAGAAAATCGGATTATTATCTTCATCGGAGAACACACACTGGAGAAAAGCCTTATGTGTGTGACGTGTGTGGTTCATCATTTATCAGGAGAGCATATCTGGACATTCATATGCGTACTCATACTGGTGAACGTCCATATAATTGTGAATCTTGCGAATCTGCATTTAAAACCCGCACTGCCCTAAAGTTTCATAAACGTACTCACAGTGGTGAAAGGCCTTACAAATGTGAACACTGTGATTTTGCCTTTGCCCAAAAATCTGCAATGAAAGCACACACACGTATTCATACTGGTGATAAACCATATAAATGTGATTCATGCGAAGCTGCTTTTCGCCATAGTAGTAGTTTAACTATACACAAACGAACTCACACTGGAGAAAGACCATATGTTTGTGATGCTTGTGGAGCAACATTTGCCCAGAGACCTCACCTCAATCTACACAAAAGAGCTCATTCAGGTATTAAGCCACACACTTGTGATGAGTGTAATGCATCTTTCACAAAAAAGGATTACCTTTTGGCTCACAAAACAAAGCATGCAGGTGGAAGCACAATCAAGACTGAAGCTTTAGTGGAAGCTGCAGGTGAGCAGGTGTACAAGTGCACTGATTGTGAGATGGTGTTTACACACCATTCCAGTTTAACAGTCCACATGAGAAAACACACTGGTGAGAGGCCATTTGTATGTGAAGACTGTGGTGCATCATTTTTATACAGCTCAAATCTTACTACTCACCGCAGAAAACACACTGGTGAAAGACCATATAAGTGTGATCAGTGTGAGGCCTCCTTCATTCTCAAGAGTTATTTAACGATGCACCTTAGGAAACATTCTGGTGAAAGGCCATTTAAATGTGATGAATGCCAAGCTTGCTTTACACAAAAAACTCACTTATCAACCCATAGGAGGATTCATACTGGAGAATGCCCCTACAAGTGTGAAGAGTGTGGAGAGGCTTTTCGTGATGGTGCCAATTTTTGGAGACATAAGAAGAAGCATTTAATTGGTGAAGGAGCTGCAACTGTAACACGTAGAAGAGGAAGAAGAGGACGAGGAAGAGGTGGGACTAGAGGTTCTAGAACTGCTCCAACTAGGCGAACAACACGTGTTCGTCGTTCCACAGTAAAATTTGAAGAGCTCTATGAGCAGTTTATTGTTAACCAACAAGATGAAAGAATGCTTGTTAAAGAAGAACCACAAGATCAGTCAAATAAAGATGATGAGGAGGAGGGTCCCTACATCACAATTAACCCAATGGTAGAGATCAAGTTAGAAGATGATGAGCATCACCAGATACAAGGTAAAAAAACAGAGTTAAGACAACCAGAGGACAGTAATCTTATAGGAATGGGTAAAGATACTGTTAAAGATCATCTTTCAAGAAATGATGAGAATGATAAGGAGAATTTGGAAAAAAAGCCAGATCATATAGATGAAAGGTTACATGTTAGTGATGGTAAAGTAGATAAAGTGACAAAATGATCATGTGAATATATTTTTCAAAATTATAATGTACAATTATATAGAATATAAGGTTGTCAAGTATGATATAGGGAAAGTATTGATTGTTAGTGCTGAAACTTATCATTAAAAGTATATATTTCTTGAATTACTAATGAAATATTGATACAGATCTCATTTTGGGTATATCTTATTTTATAAGTAAAGTAATAGAATATTTATTATTGATTAAAGTTACGGAGTATATTACCTGAAGTACTGTAGTTTGTATTCTTGTGATGTTATGAGAAGATTGTATGTGATGTATTTTCCAGTGATTGCTGTAGTGTGTGTATAGTATTACATACCTGGTCTTGTCCCAGTTTCAGTTTTGTTTTTAGAAAAATGGTGTGGAAGTGTTGACCTTTGGAAGGTTCAATGTTATCCTTTTGCAATTGCCAATTATGTACTTTTTGTGATAATACAAATCAGAATCGTGTTAATATGCAGACAGTTTTATATATAAATATATATGTATATATTTTGTGTTATTGTATCTTTGTAAGTTAAATATCTTTTAAATTTAAATTATTTGTTATGCAATTTTTTAAAAGTCTAAATGTCCAAGGAATTTTTATTGTGATTTCCCTGAATTACACTTGTTTTGTAAACAATTACTAGTCAGAATAGGCTTGGAGTCAGTATATTTTGATGTTAAGACAAAGTAATTTTGTTTTGTCTAGTGTTTACAGTAGTTTTGGCTGTAAATAGCAAATGTTTAGAAATGTCTATGTTTTGGAATACACTAGCTATTTTACTAAATTTACAGTGGTTTGTGAGATGTGACGAAAAAGGGAAATAAATTTTGAACCAAGGCAGTGTGTTTTACTCATCCAGTTTGTGTTGTATACAATTGTAACTTTTGCTGATATGTATGGAGTGGTTCATTTACAAGATGCCTCCCCTTCCTTGAATCAAAACCAAATGCCTCCCATTCCCCAGGTGTTGCATGAGCCTTGCAGGTTTAGCAGTTCCCCATAAATATAATAAATGAACAAAGAAAAACTATCTTGTACCAAGTTAAGATGTCAATGGGTAAAAAAAATTAGATTATAATTAGCTTTAACTGTGGTAAATATTGTAACAGTACTGTACTAGAAGAGGCACAGGAAAGCCTGAGAAGTTTGGTAAAGGGAAAATGAATAGTATGCTATATCTTGGGATGTGAAAGGAAAATTTGAAATGATAGAGTAATGTCATGTACATAATTGCAACTAGAATGTAGATTTTGAGTCTAAAACCCCTCAAGGAAGGTTCCTTGATGTTGGTGAGGGGCTCTTGATTTAGGGAATTGGATCTGTGCTCCGGTTCCCCGAATTAAGCCTGAATGCCTTCCATATTCCCCCCAGGCGCTGTATAACCCTCCGGGTTTAGCGTTTCCCCCTTGATTATAATAATAATAATAGTCTAAAAAATCCATTAATTATATGAGTAGGAATTTTACAGAATCAAACCTAATTCTATCAGTTTCAGAACTGAATTTGCTTTTAACACAAATATAATTTTAACTCCGTTTTGTACCTAAGTTAGTGGCACTACTGGGTTATTTAAAGTACTTTTTTTTTTTTTTTTTTTTTTTTTTTTTTTGCTAAGTGTATGGTTTTTGTTTTTGTAACACTTCTGGTTTTGAGGGACTAGTAACCCCTCCTGTATACATTACTTAAAGAGAAAATCTTTTGTTTTTCTATTTAGGTCACCCTGTCTCGATGGGATATGGCTGATTCGTTAAAAAAAAAAAATAATGATGCCAGGCCTTGAGGCAAGGCAACACACACAAGATAAACATTCATCGCCATTCAATTCAATTCAATTTAATTCAATTCAAAGTTTATTCTCTATAAGGATTACAATGCTGAGTTTACAGAATTTGGTTATTGTGTGCTTTACATGTAGTAAAATAATTACAGAGTACCACTAGAACACCTAGCATGGCTAGGCATTTCGGGCAGACTTAGTTTAATTCTTAATTTTAAAATATTACAAATTATGAGGTAAGTTGGTATTATGGCTAAGTGACTAAATACTAGTTTGTGAGTTTAGCAATGTGAATGCTTTTGTTTTGGCACAGTACATAGTTTCAGTATTGGAGTATCACAGGATTCATTATTTTAAGATTGAGATTAATATTTCTGTTTATGGTCAAATGGGTGAGTGAGTGTAAGTGTGAACCACCAGGTGGTATTCGTGTAGTTAGTTGACGGGGTGTATCAGGGAGATAAGATGTTTTCTAATGGTAGTTTTGAAGGTGATGAATGTGTCTGCAGTTCTAGAGTTCTCAGGTAGGGTGTTCCAGATTTTAGGGCCTTTGACATACATTGAATTTTTGTAAAGGTTTAGTCGGACACGGGGAATGTCGTAGAGATGTTTGTGTCTGGTGTTATGCCTGTGGGTTCTGTCACAACTATCAAGAAAGCATTTTAGGTCAAGGTTGATATTGGAGTTTAAGGTCCTGTAGATGTAGATTGCACAGTAGTAAGTGTGAATGTACTGAACAGGGAGTAAGTTTAGATCTATGAAGAGTGAGGGGGGGGGAAATGTTGCCAGGGATGGGATTTAGTGATTATTCTTACTGCAGCTTTTTGTTGGGTTATTATTGGCTTTAGGTGTGTTGCTGCAGTTGATCCCCAAGCACAAATAGCATAGGTGAGGTATGGATAAATAAGTGAGTGGTATAGTGTGAGAAGAGCATTTTGAGGCTCGTAGTATCGTATCTTGGAGAGGATCCCAACCGTTTTGGATACTTTTTTGGTTATGTGTTGGATATGGGTGCTGAAATTTAGGTTGTTGTCAAGGTATAGGCCTAGGAATTTGCCCTCATTATGTCTGGTAATTAGAGTGTTGTCGATCTTAATGTTAATTTGTGCATCTCCTGCTCTGCTACCAAACATAATATAGTAGGTTTTGTCAGTGTTAAGCGTAAGTTTATTGGCTGTCATCCAAGTCGATATTTTGATCAGCTCCTCGTTAACAATGGTGTTGAGGGTGGGAAGATTAGGGTGAGAGATGACATAAGTCGTGTCGTCAGCAAAGAGAATGGGTTTCAGGTGTTGGGATACGTTTGGAAGATCATTGATGTATATGAGGAAGAGCAGGGGACCAAGGACACTTCCCTGCGGAACTCCAGTATCAAGTGGCCGTGTTGTTGATGCTGTGTCTTTAATGGTGACATACTGATACCTATTAGTAAGGTAAGATTTGAAATAAGCAAGCGCATGGCCTCTTATACCGTAATGGTCAAGTTTTTGGAGTAGGATGTCGTGGTCTACTGTGTCAAAAGCTTTTCTTAGGTCAATAAAAATTCCTAGTGGATATTCCTTATTTTCCAATGCTGTGTAAAGCAGATCTAGCATTTTTATGATTGCATCGTTATATTCACAAAAATTGTCAGTCATTCAGTGCTGGAGGAGTTGTAGCATCAAGGTTCCAATAGTGGGAGATGGCCATTAAAATAGAAAATACATGTATATAACTACTCTTACCTTGAAGCAGCCCGTCTGTTCATATCATCAGTAGCTATGCTTATATATTATACTATATAATAATTACAGTAGTAATCTGTATACTATATTGCTCCCCCTTGTGGCTTAGCGCTTCTTTTTGATTATAATAATAATAATAATATATTGCTCCTATTTTAACTTCAGTGTTGGTAATAATTTGGGCAGATTATTTTTATATGTGTACATGTATGTATATGTGTGTATTCACTTATTGTACTTACCTTTGTGGTTGCAGGTATTGATGTATTTTATCAGATCCTGGCCACTGCTAGACGAGGCGAGTGACTTCAATATGGCAACCATTGATTATACCTGGAGGGTGTTCTGAGGGTCAAAGCCCCCATGGCCCTGTCCATGACCAGGCCTCGTGGTGGATCATGGTCTGATCAACCAGGCTGTTACTGCTGGCCACACGCAAACCGACTTACAAACCACAGCCCAGCTGGTCAGGTGATGACTGTAGGTGCCTTTCTAGCTCCTTCTAGAAGACAGCTAGGGGTCTATTGGTAATCCCCCTTATGTATGCTAAGAGGCAGTTGAACAGTCTTGGGCCACTGGCACTTACTGTGTTATCTCTTAGTGTACTCATGGTGCCCCTGCTTTTCATTGGGTGGATGATGCACCACCTGTCGAGTCTTTTGCTTTCATGAGGAGTGATTTCCCTGTGCGGATTGGGACTACTCCCTCTAGGATTTTCCAAAAGTTCATTATCATGTATCTTGCCTGCATTCCAAGGAGTATAGGTCAAGGGACTTCAACCATTCCCAGTAATTGAGGTGCTTTATTGTACTTACATATGCAGTGAAAGTTCTCTATATTCTACAGGTCTGCGATTTTGCCTGACTTAAACGGGGCCATTAGTATACAGCAGTACTCCAGCCTAGAAAAACAGGTGATTTGAAAAGAATCATCATTGGCTTGGCATCCCTAGTTTTGAAAGTTCACATTATCCATCCTTCATTTTCCTGGCAGATGTGGTAGACACACTGTTATGATCTTTGAAAGTGAGATGCTCTGACTTTATCATTCCTAGGGCCTTCATATTAGTTTTTTGCTCTGTTGTGTGGTTGGAATTTGGTTTATATTTTGATCCAATTTTTATTTCCTTGAGTTTTCCATAGTGGAGTAATTGAAATTTGTCCTCATTGAACTTCACATTTTTTTCTGGGGCCCATTTAAAGACTTGGTTAATATCCGCTTGGAGGCCTGCAGTGTCCTCAATGGATGACACTATCATACAAATTCTGACCTGCTTTCCCTGAAACAGAATTAGAACCAGAAGAATTAGAAAGCAGAAGAATTAGAAATGTAGATGGCTGAACAGATTGAAGGTTGATTGATAGCATAGTGGGTAGATGAGGGGAGGTGAGGATTTTAATTCTTTTGGCTCTTATAGTAATGACAATGTTTGAGAGAGTGGATTGATTTTGTGTTTGAAATGGATGGACAGGAGTGGTTTCATGAATGGATTGAACTAGAATGGGTGGAAAGTTGAATAGATGGTGGAGGGGAAAAGGATAGGATTTAAATTAAATGCATTTAGATGGTTTTGGGGGAATGTTGATGGGGAAATTGATTGAAATTTGATGCTCTTGGGGATAGGATTTTGACCAGCTTTGGGAAAGTGTTTTTGGGGGAATCATGATAATTTTCAGCTTTTGGGGAAAATTGAGAGAATTTTAAGAATCTTGGTGTGAAATGTTTTGGGGGACTCAGTAGCATTTAAAAGGTTTTGGGAGAATCTATAGAATTTTAAAGGTTTTTGAGAAATCAGCTTTTTATGAGGAAATTGATGGATTAAGGACAGTTTTGGAGGCATTTATAGAATTTTAACAGTTTAGGTAGTGTTTATGGAGTAATTGTAAGAGTTTTACCTGTTTTTTTTTTTTTTAATTTTATTGGTTTCTGGGGGAATCTGTAAAGTTTTAAACAGTTTTGGAGGGAATCAATAAGATTTAAATGTTTTGGAGGGAGTGGATATGCTGTCCCATAGCTCAGTTGGTAGCACTCACTCGGCTCGCACACTGAGGTCCTTGGTTCGATCCCCAGTATGTGTTGAAACATTAAGATGTTTCCTTAAGAAACCTGCTGTCCCTGTTCACCTAGCAGTAAAATAGGCACCTGGGTGTTAGTCAACCAGTGTGAGTCACATCCTCGGGACAAAATTGACCTAATTTGCCTGAAATGCTCTGCATAACAAGGGGCCTGGTCACAGACCGGGCCGCGGGGGCGTTGACCCCCGAAACTCTCTCCAGGTAAACTCCAGGTAAACACTGGCCGATTTCCACCAAGGCAGGGAGGCCCGAAAAAGAAAA